TGCAATAAAAGGATAAAAAGTCAGTGTGAGAGTTTCACCCCCACTCCCTTTTCTTGTTTGTTCTTGTTGTTGCTATAGGTCTCCATGAAGCAGATATTAGATAACCGTCTCATGCTTCTCTCCTAAGCCTACCCTTTGTGCACTCCAGACTTGATGCCTTCTTTCATGCTGCCTCATACACCAGGTCCTAGAACAACCTGCCTTCTAGCCACCACCAAATTCCCTCCTTTTGCTCCTTCAAAAATTTCCTCGGTATCTAGTTTATGACTTATTTTGACTAATGGTAGTTTAGCAATCTGCATTTGTATCTGAAACACAACAGAATGTAACCACTATGCTTTTAGAATGTGAACTCCCGAAGATACAGATTAAATTATTAGTTTGGCTCATTTTACTTAACATAGAGCACTGTCTACATCAATGACCGTTTATAAATTATCCTAAAAAAAGTCAGAATAACAAGCCAGTCTGGTATGGAGAGCTGGTAGGTATTTCTGTAAAACCTTTCTACCCTGCCCACATGTATTAAGATAGAAAACCTGTTTCCAAATATTTGAAAGTCAAATTTTGGTGACTGGAGTTTAGTGTTTAAATTCATACCTAAAAATCCTAAAATCCATCAACTAGTCGATTAGTCACCGAATCCAGGCACTTTAACAGCCTGATTTTCAGAAGTGCAGTATGTCCACAGAGCCTATGGATGTTAATGGGAGCAGTGGTTGTTTAGCATGCCTGAAAATCAGTCCATTTTTAGCACCCTTGAACCTATTCTACATTTAAATGTTTTATTGATGTAACTAATTTGGTTAGAGGCATAGGACTGGAAGGGCCTCCTAGATCATCCAATCTAGTTTCCTGTAAGCAACCACATCTTATAACTTCATTAATAAATTTATCATGAACATATTATGCCCCTTCCAGTATAGAAATAGCTATGATGATATAAAGCACCTTTATGACTTCATATAACCGTGCCCATACTCAGGAGATTGTCCTGTTTAACTATATCTATTTAAAATGATACAACTTCCTAATATAGACAAGCCCTTGGTTAGGGTTTTCTCCCCCCCACCTCCTCCAATAACCTGTTTAATGTATAAACCTTAACTCTGGAGTACTGCAATGTAACCCTTTATTTAATGAATCCATGCAACAGACAGCTCCGTTACACTTCCCCTTGAAAATAATGTGCATTATTCCTTAATTCATATGGCATTTTATTGCAGACTTAAGATCCTATATTAAACAAGCAGGCACATATTGTTTATCAATAACAATACATTGAAGTAACTTACTCATAGTTTGTCACAATCATGTTCTTATACATTTACAAATCTAAATATTATTTGTAACACTGTAATTTAACGCCCTACTAGAAAGCATATTTTTATAAACCACCTAAAGATTATGGTTACTCCCGTAAAAAATATTAAGACATTGAAGTTTGTGAATTTTTGCATCCATCACTGAGGGTACATCTAGACTGCGTTGCTATTTCCAGATACCGGAAGTATCCCGAAATAGCAACACTGCCTCTTTAAAAGCACCCACTATTTCCCGAAATAATGAGTGGGTTATTCCAGCATCCCTGTAATCCTCGTTCCACGAGGGTTAAGGGATTTGTTGGAATAGTGCCTTATTTTGAAATTTGGTGCTGTGTAGACAGCACCAAATTTCAAAATAAGGTCTTTCGACTTAGGCTCGGAATAAGCTATGCAATTTGCACAGTGCAAATTGCATAGCTTATTCCGACAGACGCACCCTGAGTCTTTCCACACTTATTTCTCAACTGTGTGTATCTCTCCCTTTCCATTTCAGTTTTTGTACCTGTTCCCACTTCATTCTATAGGTGACCATTGCACTTGATGCCATTCAGAAAAAAGATGAACTTGCACAATAGTCACAATACATCTGATATATTCATCTACTTTTCAAACAGACTACAAAAGAGAAAAATCAAGTCTTTGTTTAGGTCCCAATCATGCAAAAGCTCACAAGTTTGCTCATCTTTGCATATTGTAAATAGTGCCAATGATTCCTGGAGCATAAAGTTAAGTAAGTACAAGTCTTTGCAAAAGCGTGGTTCCTGAAACTGTAAATGCACAAAAGTAAGAAATTCAAAGTCATGGATCCCAAAGCAACCATAACTTGATCATATTATACATATAATTTAACTACATGTATGTAACACAAAATGGTCATGTGGGTCTGAGCCACAGCTGCTATAGGAAATACTGAATTTCCAAACAGTTGCACATCTGAAATAGTCTATTATATATTGATGTGTGTTTAATTGTTTTTAAATAAAAAGCACAGACACATTTTCTGATGTGATCTCACACTGATATAAATACATTAAGGGTCTGATTCTGATCTCACAAATCAATTTATACATGTGGAAAACTGGTGTAAGATCAGAATCAGGTCAAAGAAAGACATGTGGACCTAATTCTCATTGGGTATGTCTACACAGCAGAGTTATTTCGAATAACAGCCCTTATTTCGAAATAACTTTCCTAGCGTCTACACAGCCAAACTGCTATTTCGAAATAAATTTGAAATAGTGGAGCGCTTATTTCGAATTTGGTAAACCTCATTCTATGAGGAATAATGACAAATTCAAAATAGCTAATTTGAAATAAATGCTGTGTAGATGCTTATTTCGAAATAGGGGGCCTCCAGCCCTTTCCAGGGTACCCTGGTGGCCACTCTGGGCCAAACCAGGAAAACTCCTCTCCTATCCCCCAACCCCGGAGCCCTTAAAGGAGTAGACTCTGGCCACAGTGCCTGTGCCAGCTCCAGGCCTGCCAGCCCAGAACCAGCATTTGCTGCCCCTGACCCAGTGGCCCCAGCATGAGCCACGCAGCCAGTGCCAGCCAGCTCTCCACCACTCCCCCGGACCAGTCCCCCAGCTCCCAGAAGCCTGCCAGGGGTTGGAGAAGGCGGGTGCCTTCCTGGTCCAGTGCGTAGATCATGGACCTGATTGAGGTTTGGGGGGATGCGTCCAACGTCCATGATCTCCGCACTAGAGAGAGGAATGCGGCCCTTTAAGCACAGATCTCAGTTAGCCTCAGGCAGCAGCTCCACACAGTAAGTCCTGACCTGGTGCCTTTCCGGAACTGGTTCCAGCCAGCCTTAAATGCGATTCACAGTCCACTCAGTGTGGACGTGCTATTTTGAAATGCATTTTGTGGGAGGATGCGTTATTTCAAAATAACTTATTTCGAATTAACTATTTCAAAATAAGATATTTCGAAATAATGCTGTAGTGTAGACATACCCATTTATATTAAGGTCAACTTTACACCATAATTGGGAAGGACCCGATCCTCAGCTTGCGAACTCAATGAGCAATTTACAGCAACAGAGGATTTATCCTTCTGGCAGTGTAAAGCTGAAATAAATTATATTTACATATGTTTTAAGACCCTTTTATACTACAGGAGTGTAAAATGTTCTTGGTATCAATGAGAATCAGGCCCATTTATTTCAATGTCTCATTTGTTAAAAATACGGGTGTGTTCGTTTCAATGTGTAGAAACCATGTTATACACACATTCATATATATATGGACAACTGGATTTGATTTGCTCTTACACAGGTAATAAAAGCCCATGTCTATCATTAAAGACTAAGGCCCCAATCCTGCAAAGATTTAAGCACGGTGCATAACTTTTCAAATATGCATGTGTTAACAAGAACATAAAGCATTTATGAAGTTCAAATTTGAAACAAAATAGGTTTTAAATTATCTAAGAGCAAAATTAATCAGAACATTTTTACTAAAGCATCAATTTTCCTTACTCTGAAATGATATCACTTTACACAAAAATGCCACCTGTGATCAGAGAATAAGCATGTCACATTTCAGTATGGAAGTTTATTTTCAGCTTTAACTATATGATTAAGAAAATGTACAAGGCCTGCAATTAAGTACTAGTGTCCTGTTTCCACAACCTATGTATTAGTGTATAGCTAGCAATATTCTTTGAAGTACCAATATTCCATGGCTTATGTACAAGATAGGTTTTTCCCTATTATTTGTTTTGATTTCCTTTTTAAAGTGAATAATGTGGGGGATGAAATCTAACCATGCCTTAGATGACATAATGCATTTGAACTCCTAAGTGGGCTAATAATATACATGCATAAGGGCATTTCTGTGCAAAGTTCTTAGAAAGGGAAATGTCCTTACTGCAGCCTAGAACACATACTGAGGGTGTTGTGATGTGGCCAACAGTTCACTGGGAATTGGACCCAGAGTACCAAATAAACTTTGGCGAGTAAAACTTTTATTAATGGAACTTCAGTGTGAGGGACTATAGAATCAGAGTTACACAACCAGCACTGTAAGGAACTCAGCATTACTTTCCCAGAGAATGCTCTAATGTGACTGAAAAAGCAGAGGAAAGAGGCAATGGCTGGTGAATCTGAAAGTACAATCATTTAACTTGGAGAAAAGTTAATGGGAAGGGCACTTGCTTAACCCAGATATTGCTTTGACTAAGCTCAGACAGCGAGATGCTTGTGTCCACTGAGGAGAATAAAACAAAAAAGTGGGAAGCAGAGCGGTTTAGAAAGGGGTTTAGTGTGTGTGTGGGGAAGGATTCCTATCGACATTTCCAGTAGGAAAACGACACTGCTGTGCAAAAATAAACAACGACATAGAAACCTGGCGATGAGGAGGCGGGGAGGCAGGGGAGCGCGGTTACTGAGTGTCGCGACCAAGGCCACCCGGGGAGTCGGTGGCAGAGCAGGGACCAGCGCGCCGGCTCTAGCCCTAGCCTCCTCCTAGCGCCTCTCGCTGAGCGGCGCCCGGCTGCAAGCCCCTCTCCCAGTCGGAGCACACGCTGCGGCGAGGGGCTGGGAAAGCCTCCTGCTGCTCCGCCCGGACTCCCCGGGGAGGGGAAGCACGAGCCGCGCTGCCGAGCAGTTCGAGCGACAGCGGCTGCGGGGCCACGCGGCTCAGGCACCAGGCGGGTCTGGCTGCTCCGCGCAGGCTCTGCGGGGCGCCGGGGAGGGGCGAGGACCCAGCCGTGGCGCTGGCGCCGGGGGAGCGGAGGCAGGGACAAGGACGCTGCCGGGAGCGGGAGTCGGTGCAGCGCTGGCCCGTGGGGACTCCCAGGGTGGGTGGACGCCTACGGCTCGGGCGGGGGGAGGTGCACACATGGCCCCGGAGGGAGAGGACACGTAGCCCATCACAGCGATGGGAGGATGCGTCTGTGGCCCCACGGGGGTGCACATGACCCGCCAGGGGGTGGGAGGAATTGCACACACGGCTCGCGGGGGAGGGGAGTTTGCACACGTGGCCCGTAGAAGTGAGGGAGATTTGCACAGACGCCGATGGGCACCTGGGGGCACTTGCAATACTTTCTTCGTCGAGAAAATGCCTCGCCACGCGCCACGGGGGGGGGGCTTGTCCCAGACTGTAAAGTCAGACAAGGAAATTATTGCCCGTTATTGTGTAGTAGCAGCCGCTTTGCTTTTCTCCGTTGGCCTGCCCCGGTTCTCTGCCCACAGCAAGTGCAGGAGCTGGGATTGGGGCTGATTACCGTAAACTAGGCTCTTGCAGCAGCAGCCTCTCTGCCCCACACACTGAGCAAGGCCCGAAGGCTGGTAACAGCATGCTCGGGGTCGGGATAAACACGGGCTAGCAGTGTGTCCCGCGAGTGTCCTTGCTCTTCTACCCCTGGCTGGGTGCGTTTATATGCCTTGCTGCTGGCTGCAAGAAGTGGGGAGGCATTTTGCAAAGTAAGCAAGCAGGGCCACAGCACTGAGGATTCATTTCCCGGGGGATGCAGGTCCCTCCTCTTAATCCTCTCAATTCCCCTGTACCACAGGTGGGAGGAGATGTTGAAATGTCTGGCTTCCCCAGGGATGAGAGGAGGGCAAGCCTGAGAAAGACAAGGGTGGGTGAGAGAAGGAGCAGCCACATTGAGAGGTGGGGACAGATGCATACACAGTGTATTTTAGACATGGGGAGACATATAATGAAGGAAGGCAAGAGAAATGCAGCCCCATTACCAATCACGTCAAGAGGGTATGTGGGTGATGGGGAAAAGATGGAGTCTCATTAAGAACAGAAGTAGGAAGGTATATCCACCAGAGTGTGGGGCCTAGGCAAAAAGGGGCCAGCACAGCCACATATGGGAGGAAGGCTGAAGAGAAAGAGTGGTCTGTATGCACAAGGAATGAAAGAAGGGGAAGATTATGCCTTTTCTAGGCTCACTTGTGGCAGTGGTTTTTCGCTCGCTCCGGTGCTACAAATAAAAGAAACTTGCAGTACTTCTGTTGCTTGCTAGGAGACAGCAAACTGTCTGGTAGTTGAGGGGGTCGGCATCTTGCTAAATGGAGGTTCCTGCTGCCTTTACTGGCTGCTGCTATGGGAGGAGGAGATGGAGGAGGAAGAGGGAGGGGATGTGAAAGTGGGTCAGGAATGTAACTAGACTCTGCCCCCCCTTGCAGACATAGGCGGCGCTGCCTTAGCGATGGAAAGCAGGCATTTCGCTGTTGATGTTCCCCAGTTATACTGGCTGACGGTTACCAGGGGACCCTGAAGGATGTGTTTCCTTGTGACCCTTTGAGAAGAAAAACTTAGTTGCCTCAGTAACCAAGTTTGGCTTGGATGCAATGATGCAGTAAATATCATAGGTGAACCTTGCTAATGGTGGATGAGGAAACTGAAACTGTAGAGGCAGTTAGAGTGCAAGTATATAAAGAAACATTTGTAAAATGTTCCACCACACCCCAGAATGTGTTAAGGTTTAATGCATGATTTGTATTTGCTGCTCTGTTGAAACCCATGGTATCCATCCTCTGAATATCATAAGCTAATTATAAAATATGTATGGAAACAATCTGCCTTTTGATTGGCTAAGGCTTTAACCCCTGAGATGCTGAGTATTTGATTCTCCCTGTTGTCACTCAGAACATTACAGGAGAGGGCTCCTTGCAAATTTTCTGCTAATTTAAAAAGTTAGGTGTAAAAGAAACCTTTCCAGATTTTTGAAGAATGTAATTCGTGCTGATTGCTTTGGTGTTGGTAGGAAGCTTTAATTCATTTCTAGTGTTCATTGCTAATAAATAGCCCTCAGCTTACCAGACACGCTGCATACAGCTCTGCTGTTTATTTAGAAGTTGAAGACAAAGCCAAAAGAACAACCAACAAATATTCAACATTAGGCCCAATCATGGAGCATTCCTCCCTATTCCTTCCAGCTCATATTGTCTGGTTTCCATCTTTCCCTGTAGTGCAACAGACTTTTATTCACCAGGGCAGGGTTTTGCTTTTCAGAGTAAGGGCTGAGAGGCAGAAAACAGAGAAGGCACATATGACATTAGATCAGTTTCTTGGTTTTATTGCTGATTTCTTTTTAAACATTATGTTTGAAAAAGTCCAGTGTACTACTTGCTCATGGGGCCTGATTCTACTCTCATTGTAAACCAGTTTTATCAGGCCCATTGATTCACTTGGAAATATGCAAGTATTTGAAGATTGCTATGTAGAAAGCACGGATATGTCCCATACCTGGACATAGAAAGATGTGTATATTTTTTAAGGATCAAAAGTGAATGGACTAGAATTTGCAGCTAATCCCATTGCTTCAAATTGGGGCCCCTTTGGATATTGCATCCAATGGGTAATGCTGTAACCCACTTCTCTCTTCTCTGCAAGCTGGTCTAAGTTTCTCAGTTTTTAAACCCAGTCATGCCCTTTGATTCAAGGACACAGATGATGAATCATAATGTTTCACTTTGTGTGTGAGATAAATATGCTTGAACATTTTAGGAAGTCAGTTGCTATTAAAATGAAATTTAAGAATAAAAATAATCACATAAAACAAGTAACCTATAGTAAAATAAAAGAAACTCTAATGCTAATCTTGTTTTCTTTGCAAACTAAGTGCACGTTTAAATGCTCAGTTACATCAGGAATGAATTTAGTCCATTGTCTCTCTAAACAGAAAGACAAATAGAAAAGATGTAGCTAGCCTTTCCCTATAGCTTTAAGATAAATAATTGGTTTTAGTTTTGTATATTTATTTTTGTGGACAAACGCTGGTGAATGTTATTTGGTTTTGTGGAATCTCCCACCAGTCCTTTAGAAGTTCATAACTGTCAGTCTTTCAATGGGACCCATGAGTGTGAGTCTCTGCACCCATGTAGTCTCATTAACTTTGGCGGGTGCCTGCAGAGGTTCACAATCACGAATCCAGATGCCAAGATTCCAGTCTATTGTTTTTCTAGCACTGTGGCAGACCTTCAGCTACTATGGGTGTGTCTAAACTACAGGGTTTTTTAAAAAAAACAAGTCAGACAAGGAAATTATTGCCCGTTATTGTGTAGTAGCAGCCGGTTCTATGGAAAGTAAATTGAAAGAATGCGGCAGTTTTTTCGACTGCGGAAAACCTCGTTTTACGAGGAATAACGCCTTTTTTTGAAAGTGCTCTTTCGAAAAAAGGCGCTATGTAATGCAAACTGCTTTTTCGAAAGAGAGCATCCAGACTGCCTGGGTGCTCTCTTTCGAAAAAGCGGCTTGCTTTTTCGAAAGTACTGGTTGTAATCTAGATGCTCTTTTTCGAAAGCTCATGATACCATCTACATGTTTTGTTAGTCTATAAAGTGCTACCAGGCCATTTGTTGTTTTTTAGTTAATTTAGTTATTGACACACCGAGTCTGAGTTTCTGCTACATTAGGACCACTGTGGGTGTGTCTACACTACATCATTATTTTGAGATAATTAGTGTTATTTTGAAATAATAATGCGAATGTCTACACAGCCATTCCATTATTTTGAAATAATTTCCAGATAACGTTCAGCTTATTGTGAAATCTGTAAACCTCATTCTACGAGGAAAAACACCTATTCCAAAATAGCTATTCTGAAGTAAGAAGTGTGTAGAGGCTCCACTGCTGCTATTTCAAAACAGCCCCTCACCGGAGCCATTCTAAGTTATTCCTTCCCAGTGCCTCCTGGGGCTCTAAGTTGAGATAGCACATCTACATTAGGGAAGTCTGCCTCGGACTAATTTTGAGGCTTCCCTGTAGTGTAGATGTGCTATTTTGAAATAAGCTATTCCGAAATAGCTTTTTTCAAAATAGCTGTGCAGTGTAGACGTACCCTGTATGTTTCTCTGGCAGAGCAACAGGGATGTCAAGTTTGTTCAACTAGCCATCAGGGAATCCCTTTATGCTGGGGAAAATACTGTGATGATAGAATCGCCTATTGCCGCACATAATGTCAAACACATGCTGGTGGCGTCTGAGAGGGAGGCGTGGCCAGAGCACTCTCTAGCTCTTCTTGTCTGCTTCAGTGACCTCTAAAAGCCCATTACAGCCATGAACAGTCAGTCTACCATGACCTTGAGGCTGCTCTAATCTAGGCTGAAGCATAGGCAGGCCGTGACTAGGGACCTTAGGTAGCGTTGAATTGAGTAATCATGTAACTGCATCAAATTTTAGTGGTTACATGACTATTTGATAGTCCTGGGGGTGGGGCCAGCAGCCTGTGCTTTCCGGCCCCAGTCCCAGGGAACCCCCTGCCACCTCACGCTGCTGCCTCTGTATCAGGTGGGAGCCAGTCCACGAGGGGAGTCAGTTTGGCTCCCACCTGCCACCCCGCGGTGCTGCTCTCTGATACAGAGGCAGCCGTGTGGGATGGCAACAACCCCTGACCATGGTAAGGATGTTAAGGACTAGTCAACTATCCAATAAGCAAATGCTTATTGGATAGTTGAGTCGACTAGTCGCTTCTCTTCCCCCCCCCCCATATCAGATAGAGGCAGCAGGGGGAGGAGAAAAGGTGGGTACTTCAAAGTGGCAGTGCCACACGGAGCCTGGGGTATGGGCTCCGTGTGGTGCTGCTGCTTTGAAACACCACTGCGTCATTTCAAATGGGCAGCGCCACACAGCTGATCCCAGGCTCCATGTGGCGCTGCCCCTTTGAAATGCCGTGGCAGAACCCGGAGACAGCTGGGGAGTCAGTCCCCAGCTGATCTCAGGCTCCATGAAGTGCAGCCTCTTTGAAATGCTTTGCGGAGCACAAGATCAGCTAGGGATTTCCCAGCTGACCCTGGGCTCCATGCGGCATTTCAGAGTGCTTGTGCATTTCAAAGGGGAAGCGTCCACGTGGAGCCCGCTGGGCCCACGCTGCACGTGGAGTTCCAACTTTGAAATGCACAAGAACCACTGCTGGGTCTCTTGTACATTTCAAAGGAGGAATGCAGAAGTGCCTATCAACTAGTCTAAGAGTCGATGGAAATTCTTTCTACTACTCAACTAGTAAATTAATCGATATTTAACATCCTTAGTCCATGGGGGCAGGACCTGAGCTCTGTGGGAGGCAGCAAGGAGGGGGAAGGAAGCTCCACAGGAACTGATATATGTGGGGAGCCAGCTTGAATGCCAGCTTCAAATGTGCACCAGCTCCTGCCTGACCCCCCCTCTCCCCCACCGTCCACGCTGCAGCCTCTCTATCAGAGGCAGCAGCATAAGTGCGGGGTGGGAGATGGTGGCTCCACAGGATCCAGTGCTTAAAAGCCAACTCCCCATGGACATCAGTTCCCCCTCCTTGCTGCCTCTGATTCGAGAAATGACAGCAACTGATACAGAGGCAGCAAGGGAGGTGGGGGTGGGGAATACGTGTAGTTGACAGGATTAACCGATAACCACAGGTTTACTGGTTAATTGTGTAGTTGACTACATGTTGACATCCCTAGGACCAGGGCCAGTAACATCAGGAGGCACAAAGATGTTTTAAAGCATTTCTGCACCAAGCACAGTTTAGCTATATAACAGAGAATTAGGCCCACAGTCTATATGGCAAGGTTGATATTTGACTGTGACATCTCAGAGGAACGTGTGTAATTTTCCCAAGTGGAGCTGGCCTGCCAGCGAGTGGCTGGATAGTGAAGCAGTGGGCCAACTGGGAACATAGAGTGAGTCAGTCATAGCTTCAGCTCTGAGACCTGAATCTGCCTGGGAAAAATCAGGACTGTGGATAATCAGAGTGGTTTTGCTTTCATTGTTTTGGGAGGACCTGTCAGGTAGTGTTAGGCCCTGTCTAACTTTGTACTGAAGCAGTGTGGGAAAGAACAGTTTTAACATGTTCCTGCTAGCTGAGTGCCAACCTGATCTCCCTGGCCACAGGGGACAAAAATGAAAAGTGTTATAAAAACTGCTTTGCCAAACTGTGCTAATAGATTGGTCTGCACGGTTTTGTAAAGTCACTCTTGTTGACATAGTTTCAACACAAATGTAGACAGCCTCTCTTATAAGACCATCATTTACAACTTAGTTCAGCCCCCCAAATGGTTTATAACTCAGCTTGTGCTCCCCTGGGAAATTATAATGCACCCTACCAAAGTGCACTGCTTAGTTTCAGTTGGCTGTTGAATAAATAGGGCCGTATTAAGAAAAGTTTAAAGGTTTAACCACACCCCATTTTGAAGCTTTATATCCCCAGTGCCTTGTTCTTACCAGACTGAATTGCAGAAACTTCTCTGTAAACAGGATGAAACAATAGCAGCAAAGGTATGATCCTCCACCACGGAGAATAGGGACCTCAAAGCCTATTACCATTTAAATGATGGCATTGTTAAACAGAGTAGTTTCAAGATTAAATCGTTAGCTAGATTAAGAAAACCATGTTATTTGTTGAGTGTCTCACCTTTAGCAACCAAAATACAATAATGTTCCATTTTCTTTTTGACATGCACTTAGTGCAGTTGTAAAGTTGCTTGCATTTGTAGATTCACTCAGAGAGTACTCACAAAACAGGTTTAAAAGCAGAGACTCTAACAGGATGTGACATACCCTCTTTCTACAGAACAGTGGGTGAAACATCCCTGTAGTTTTCTAGAAACTTAAAAAAAAGGGTGCTTGAGTTTACTAATTCAACAGCTGGTTTTTTTTAAAGTATTGAGTTTGAATTCAACATTAAGATTTTAAGAAAGTTACAGGATTATTCTGCCTTTATCTTATTTATAATTACTTTAGTGAACTTTTTGCTTATCAGTACTGAAATGATGCCTTAAAACCAGTCTGACAACTTTTTCATAACACCATGTGCTAGAGAGCCTTGAGAAAACAGTTTTGAAACAATATCAGTGCAGAACCTGAACACTGAAACTGAACACTTTGAACAAGAAGAATGTTCATAAAACACATTTCCCTGATTTTGTTAGTGTTCAAACAAAAGTCAGGTGTTTAATAACCCTTCTTCCAGAGAGATGCTTCATAAGGTGCTCAAAGGATTTGCATGTAAGAACATGGTGTATTTAAAACCTCTACATGCTATACAATTTTTCAAAACTTAAGACTTTTACAAGTCTTTTTAAAATGGGATCTAAAGCTAAACGGCTCTCCTAGCTCCTCTTACCTTATATTTTAGACAACACTCAAATAAAAGGCTGCGCAATGACTGGACTCTTGGATTTGTAGGGTTTTTTTTTCATTTAATCAGAAACAGTCACTACAGTACAATCCTATTTTCTCTGAATTCCTGTTAACTAACTCACTAAGAGAAATCTGGTTTCATCCCCCAAGGCTATGCTGTTCTCCAAACCCTCCCACCCAAGCCCAGAGAGCAATGAAAAGAATTACAGTCAGATCTACACACTTTAAAAGGACTCTGAGAGTACCCTTCCAAAGCCACCTGGCAATGTTTGCTTTGCAGTTCTGGTTTGGGCGGAGGAGCCTGGACCAGATCTTTTCAAACTGTGCTGGACCCCTTTTATTCCAGACCCCTTTCCTCCCAACTCCCTGATTTCTTTCCATGTTGATGCCCTTCTTGGCCACCTCTGCTTAAGTCACTGGGGGTATGTCTAGACTATATGCCTCTGCCGACAGAGGGATGTAAATTAGACTACCTGACATAGTCAATGAAGCAGGGATTTAAATATCCCCCGCTTCACTAAAATAAAAATGGCCACCATGCTGTGCCGGCTCAGCTGATTGTCGGCACAGCACGGCAATCAAGACGTGGATTGGTTGACAGAGAACGCCTTTGTCGACCGCTCTCTTATGTCTCGTGAAACGAGGTTTACAGGAGCAGTTGACAAAGGCATTCCCTGTCGACCGATCCGCGTCTTGACTGGCGCACTGTGCCGACAATCAGCTGAGCCAGCACAGTGCGGCGGCCATTTTTATTTTATTGAAGCGGGGGATATTTAAATCCCCGCTTCATTGACTATGTCAGGTAGTCTAATTTACATGCCTCTGTCAGCAGAGGCATGTAGTCTAGACATACTCTGGGAGAAGAGAGTGCCCTGCACTTCCGAAAACCAGATCCTCAATAATAAAATGAAGATCGTTGCTTCTCATCAGGTATAAGGATGTGGGTGCTAATTTAGCTGGAAGCATTGCAAACTTGACCATGAATAAGAGGCCATCAGAAATTTTACTAAGGTGAACTGGCTCAACAGACCCAGTCTTTTTTTCATGCACCTTATTTTCTTGCTTTTTTGTGCTCATCTTTCTTAATTCCCTGCTTCTCCAGCAGATTAAGAATTTAAGAAAATACAAGCTGAGAGAAAACTAATAATTGGTTTCTTTACTATAAAAACACAGGGCCAAACTCTGAAAATTAGTTCCTGATAGGTGCCAACTGGGATGTTTGCAGATGTTCCCAGCAGGAGATGGATGAAAAATCCACACATGAATGGAAAATATTAGAGGGAACAATGGATAGGTCTCTCAATGGCTATTAGTTAAGATGACCAGGGATACAGCCTCATGCTCTGGGTATCCCAAAGCCTCTGACTGCCACACACTGGGACTGGACGAGAGGGGAGAGATGACTTCATAATTGCCTTGTTCTGTTCATTTCCTCTGCAGCATCTGACATCAGCCGTTATTGGACGACAGGATACTGGACTAGACGGACCATTGGTGTGACCATTCTTATGCTCTTAACCACACACGGTCCTTCAAACAAAAACAGACAGACAAACACAAGCTCAGCACACAGCAGGTAACCCCGAAACGCAAACACACACTACACACAGCCACTTACCTCAAGGGTCCTGTATTTGCTCCTCCTTTATCTGGAGAACTCCCTCTCGAAACTCCCTGTTAGCTGCCCCTGTTCGCAAAGCTCCCTGGTCACTGATTCATTGACCTATCAGAATTCTTTGAAGGTTCAATAAAGGTGGACAAGGTGATCCAATGGATACTGTTCTGGGACTTTCAGAAAGCCTTTGACAAAGGCTTTTAAGCAAAGCAAGCAATCATTGGTTAAGAGGGAAGATCCTCTCATGAGTCAACAACTAGTTTAAAGGTAAAAAAAGAATAGGAATAAATGGGCAGTTGTGAAGATCAAAAGTATATCTGGGTTCAAAAAATAATTAGATAAGTTCAAGGAGAATAGGTCCAGTATTGCCGGTAAGCTGTGCGCTTGTGTGTCTGCTTAGGAGAGATTCTTATGTCGCCCAGCTGATTAGGAGGGTGCCCACAATTAGATGTTTTGTGTTTCTATTGGTGATGCACATTCCTACATGCCTTGGTGCACATAAAACTATTTCACACATGAATGAAAAATCCACACTTGGATGGAAAATATTAGAGGGAACATTGGATAGGTGTATCAATGGCTATTAGTCAAGATGACCCAGATGCAGCCTCATGCTCTGGGTTTCCCAAAGCCTCTGACTGCCAGACACTGGGACTGGACGAGAGGGGAGAGATCACTTCATACTTGCCCTGTTCTGTTCATTCCCTCTGCAGCATCTGACATCAGCTGTTATTGGACAACAGGATACCGGACTAGATGGACCAATCGTGTGACCAGGCTTATGCTCTTAACCACGTACTGTTGTAAGAAGACAACACTTGCCTTTTTGTGTGTTGGCTCTCTCTAGCCTCCAGTGGGGCTCTATGGATGAGATGTTACTAACATAGTGCACCTACATCATTCAGAGTGGAGATTTCCATAGTGGGATTCTAGAACAAAAAACAGACCCCGTAAGTTTTAAGTTAATAATCTATAGACTTTTCTGTTATTCAGCAGCTATCAGCTAACATTTTGCTAATGTAGGATTTCTTTTTAAACCATTTGTAGGTCACCTTTACAACTCATGAATGTGTGTTGTCTGGTATGTTTTCTATCCAGTCTTTTTAACATTGTGTGCAAGTTGACTTCTGCTCACCATACCAAAAAAGAGGATTCCTGTCATACGTTGCTGATTCCATCCTCTTCTTTTTGCATAAAGGCAAGAGCAAAAAGCCTGTTTCACAGATCATTTCATTATCCCCATCTCCAAATCTCTATTGTGAGCTAATCAAGTTCTGTCTCCTGTGAAATATAATTGAAAAAAAATCAAATATATATTTTTAAATTATATTTTTAAAAGTTTATCTATGTATCCTTTAAACTTGCAGCATTCTTCTTTTATGGGTTGCTCAAGCCATCTCATCAGATTGCTTATATCTTTAAAAGCCTACTTTTTACATCCTGGCTTAAGCACATTGGCCTCTATAACCCTTCCCCACCATTTAGGCTTAACTGGGAAGAATTTAACGTGTTTTCTTTGTAATTGTTTCTCAAATATTTCCCTCTTCTCTGCAGCAGATTTCACAAACTATCTAGTATTCTAAACAAAATTCCTTATGGTGTTACCACATTTAATCAAAGTCAGCCTTCCTGGAGTTAGACAGAGAGTAGGTAATTTTAGTATTAACGTTTGTCATTATACAGTCTAAGATAGCAGTAATCAAATCTCTCACTTCAGGGCATCAGCTAATGGCTTTTGGGATCTGTAAGGATTTTTCCTTCCCTTATTTACCAGTGATTGTGCAATTGGCCATATGTATTTAAGACTTTAATTTTAAAGTTTTGATTACTGTAGTTGAGCATTTAGCTCTCATTTAATTGTATAAATAAATGACTTGATTTTCAGGAATACTTGGCACCCACTGAATACAAGTATTGAACACCTCTGTAAATCAGGCCACGTTTTAGGTGTTTAACAAATAGGGAGTTATGCACCTACCTACACTGGAAAATTTTGGCCTCCTTTTTTTCTTTTCTATCATCCCCTAAAGCATTAGAGATATTATCTACTACTAGAAGTACAGAGTCATCTAACTTGATGGACCACTTATTCATACCTGTATGACAAATCCCATATGTGCTTTCTCCAATAAATTATGCCATTTGATTAGTTTGATTAAGACCCATGGTTTTTTAAACTCTACATTGTCTGTCATTCACCTTACTTATACTTGGTTTATTTCCTAGCATTCCAGAAAAGTCAGTGTTGTAACCTTTTACATTTGAAGAGAAAATTATCAATTCACAATTAATGACATTTATTGTTGCATTATATCAAGCTGTACTGATCCACAAAGACGTGTGGGACTACTTAATTTTGTGAAGTTCTGTCAGACGGAACTGTCCTGAGATAACCAGGATGGTTGACAACCTAAATCTTTTGGACATCATAGATATACATGCAAAGATAGTTTTGTAAAGATAGATGTTACTGTGTCCTCACTGTTAGCAGCTGAATAATAATATTCTCCAAGGATCAGAAGTTCTAGTCTGAAATAATAATGATGATGAACAAGAATTTTAAAAATGGACAAGATGCTACACATCTCCAAGTTTATAGGAAAAAAGGCTTGATATAATATTCTAGTTTGAAAAATCATATATGACTATGTTATTAAAGATCTTGGCCCCAATTTACCACTGAGTCCAAACTATGCTTGAATACTGTGCAGAGAAGAGACCATAAGGAGCCAGCTGACGGTTCCCTAATTCAGACCCAATTGTAGCCGTTACCTTTAGTTAATGTTTGTGTATTAAATTCCCCATCATTTCCCAGCTCTGGACGTATTTTAGAAAGTAGGTATCTAGAAAGTAGGTAACTCCAGTTCAGCATGTGCATGTTACAGCTACTATGCCATTGAAGCTGTGCCGTCAGAGTATAGGCACATCACATATCAATGGAAGTTTTTCCATTGCTGTAGTGATGGTTAAGAGAAGAATCAATCTACTCACCACCTAAACCATAACCTGCACCAAGGATTAGGCTGACCTCTACATTTTTCACAGTCCTGAGCGGCATAGCTAGGTTGATCTCATTTATAAGTATAGGCCAAGCTCTTACTGCATATGCTTTTGTCATTTGTGTACAAGTAATTTTGCTTTTCTCCTTTTATTTCACCTTCTTACCTCTTGCTGTCATCACTAGCCTAAAAATTGGCCAAGTAATTGTGCTTAATGGTAGTCACAGAGTCACATTGCTTGCTCAGATGCATTGAAATATTTCATATCTTTCCTAACCTGGTTCCTAACTAGGTTACCAACAGGATAACAGCCGGCTGCACACACTGCAGCTGGTCCCCTTTCGAACTGTGCCAAAGAGTCATATGTACACGCTTGTGCTTCACACTCTCCATTTCCCCACCCTTGTGTCCCGCCCAGATACTAAGGGGTGGAACCTCCTACCACCAGTAGAGGGTGGGGAGCCCCAGTAGGCCAATCCCTGTTCTACCTTGGTTCCATGGCCCGCTGGGGACATCATCTAGAGAATCCTCCACAGCGCTATGAGCACGGGCGTGTACTTGGTGCGGTTCACCCCTGTCCCCGACATTTGCCCCTTCTGTGGCAAGAGGGAGACCCTGGCGCACATTTACCTTGAGTGCGCCAGGTTACAGTCTCTCTTTCGGCTTCTCCAGAACCTCCTGTTGGGGTTCTGGCTGCACTTCTCCCCTCACCTGTTAATTTATGCACACCCCATCTGTGGCCTCACAGAGTCGTGGGCCCTCCTGGTCAACCTCCTCCTGGCTATGGCCAAGATGGCAATTTATAAAACCAGGGAGCAGAGGTTGCCTGAGAGAGGGGCCTGTGACTGTGTGGCCTATTTCTGCTCCTGCATCCATTCACACATCCAGGCAGAATTCCACTGGACGGCGTCCGCTGGCTCTCTCAAGATCTTCGAGGGGCAGTGAGCACTCTCCAGGGTTCTCTGCTCGGTGTCCCCATCCGGTTCTCTTGTTTTAGCCCTTTGACCCTCACAACCATCCCTGTTTTCTTTTTCTTTGACCCCCAGAATCACTTGGTGTCCAGGTCTGTTTGGATCCTGGCTTGCGGAGTGTCCTTTAGATATGGGCGGGTTAATGCCCACCCACCTCCCGGACCCCAATAGGACCAACAGGCTAACACAAAATCCTGCCTACCTCATAGTTACCGGAAATATACTCTTAGGCTACGTCTACACTGGCCCCTTCTTCGGAATAGCCATGCTAATTTAGAACTCTGGAATAGGGAAATGCGCGGGGGATTTAAATATCCCCCGCGGGATTTAAATAAACATGGCCGCCGCTTTTTTTCCGGCTTGGGGAAAAGCCGGAAAAGAGCATCCAGACTGGCGCGATCCTCCGGAATAAAGCCCTATTCCGGAGGATCTCTTATTCCTACTTTCAAGTAGGATCGCGCCAGTCTGGACGCTCTTTTCCGGCTTTTCCCCAAGCCGGAAAAAAAGCGGCGGCCATGTTTATTTAAATCCTGCGGGGGATATTTAAATCCCCCGCGCATTTCCCTATTCCAAAGTTCTAAATTAGCATGGCTATTCCGAAGAAGGGGCCAGTGTAGACACAACCTTATTGTGTTAAGTTTGAATCAGTAATTTTTTCATAATAATTTCAGACTAATGACAGCAGTATTAGTCAAGCTATGGTAATGCAAGTATGAACCGTGTAAACTCCCTCTGTATAATTATTTCAGTTATCCTCAGTTTATACCATTTCTAGATCCAGCCCCAAGACTTCCCTAAACAAAGAGTGCAAATCAGGGTGAATTGTGTCAAAATGGGTAGTGAATCTGTGGATTGGTTTATTTTGTAAATAGACTTTTTACTGAAGCAAGCTATGTTTTGAAAACAGTAAGTTGGAGTTTACATGACTCTTTTGAGGTAAATCCATTGCAATTCCAGAAAAAGCCACAACTTTTATTTCATATCACTTAAGCAAACTATACCCTACCTAAAACTGAATTACATATTTCTATGATGTATGGCATCACCAGAATAAATACCATAACAAGACTAAATGTGAAAAGAAAAGTAAAAGAATAGGCAGGGGAATAATAAGCTACATTGCATCTCTTTGTTAGTTTTAGGTGCTGCTTGCTCTGCACTTTCATGCTGTATTCAGTGTTTCTGTTTTCTAGGTTTGGAGGATGTAAGCATCCTTCAATAGGAGGTGTTTTTTAATATGTGCATAACTCTCCAATAGGGACTAGGATGAATTCACCAAATTCATTTTCATTTGTGTTCTACCTCACCCTTTGCATACAGTCCAGAGGTAAAAATGCTTATCCATAGTGTCATCAAATTGATTAACAATCCCCTTCTCCTCCCCCATTGTTCCAGATTGCCACCTCTCTATCATTTCCTTCAGAGTATATAATTATAATAGGCATAATTCTCAGTGACTCTTTCGTTTTATTTATAATGACTCCAGAAGACTACACTGATAACTGTGGAGACAACTGTGTCACTAAAAGAGATTCTAAGGTTAATCTTCAATCATGCATGACAGATAAATGACACACAGTAACACAATTAGTATCACTAGGCAAGATCTCAAGGGTCCCCTCTTTGTTGAGAAAGGGGGAAAATGACAATCAAAATGACCAACATAAACCGAGTATGTTTGTCAACAAAATTTTTGTGAAAAACTTTCTCTAGTAACTTGTCATCTAATTCAAAATCAGCTGTTTGAGATGATTTCACAAATTAGTGGAGTTACAAAGGTTTATTTACCAGATCATAAAAGATCCAAAAGATTTTTTTTAAAGTGTGAGATTTTCAGATTTTTTAAAGATATTAATCTTGAATTATTTTATCCTTAAATCTTTAAGCAACAGTGAGATCTATAAGAGTGTGAACCAGTCTCCAAAGGTATGTCTACACAGCAGAGTTATTTTGAAATAACAGCCCTTATTTCGAAATAACTTTCCTAGCATCTACACAGCCAAACTGCTATTTCGAAATGAAATTGAAATAGCAGAACACTTATGTCGAATTTGGTGAACCTCATTCTACAAGGAATAACGCCAAATTCGAAATAAGATGCTGTATAGATGCTTATTTCGAAATAGGGGGCCTCCAGCCCTTCCCAGGGTGCCCTGGTGGCTACTCTGGGCACAGCCAGGAAAACTTCCTCTCCTCTCCCCCAAACCCGGAGCCCTTAAAGGGGTAGAGTCTGGCCACAGTGCCTGTGCCACCTCCAGTTGCTGCCCCTGACTCAGTGGCCCCACCATGAGCCAGGCAGCCAGTGCTAGCCAGCCCTCCACTCCCAGGCCCAATCCCCCAGCTCCCAGGGGCCGGAGAAGGCAGGTGCCTTCCTGGTCTAGTGCAGAGATTGTGGACCTCATTAAGGTTTGGGGGGACGCCTCCAATGTCCACGATCTCCACAGTAAATGGAGGAACGCGGTCGTTTACAGGCGGGTGGCTGCCAGCCTGGCCACCAAAGGCCACATGCAAACCCAGGAGCAGGTGCGCATGAAAATAAAGGAGTTGTAGCAGACCTATGCCAGAGCCACAGGAGACAGCTCCCAAACAGGGGCAGACACCTGCCCCTATTTTGATGCCCTGGACCGCATCCTGGAGGGCAGGATGGTCCATGCCACCCTGGGGGGTCATCGGTCCTGGAGCAGAGGGCCCTGACCAGGGCATGGAGGAGGAGCACCAGGAGCCCAGAGGGAGTGTGCCACGCAGCCAGGACTCCCCACGCCATCCCAGCAGACCCGTCACCAGTGTCATCTAGGGAGGCAACAACATGTGAGTGCCATCACTGTCCCCTTATTGGGGGGGCGGGGAGGGAGACCAGGGACCGCATGCGTGGGCCTTGCTGACCACGGATCACGCAGCAACCTGTGCATGTGTTAGCACTTGCCATGCTACCCTGGGCATGGGGCCCCAGTTGGCTGCCACACAGGGGCCTTGGCCTGTTAGTCACATGTGTGTGTGAAGAGACATGTCATGCTCCTGACCCCGGGGTGGGACACAACAGGACGCCCTCCCTCCACAAGGCCACTCTACACAGAGGCAGGTGACATCTCCCCCTCACCTCACCCACATTATACACAGCACGGGGGCATGGGTGCGGTCTCGGGGCAGCTCCCACTCCTGGGGATAGCAGGACATTCTGATCATGGCTCTAATAGTGCAGGGAATGGTCATCCTCACCTTGCAGAGGGGGGCTGGGCTTCACCCACTGTGTCCCCAGGGAGAACTGACCACTTCTCTTGTTTCCCCATAGCCGCACCAGCTGCACGTGCAGGGCGCACCACCCCTCCTGGGACATTCCCCCCCCCACCCGAGGGCTCCGCAGGACCACCTGTGCAATGCAGGGGTACCGACAGCAGCACCTGGGGGCACTGCGAGCCCTGCACCACACCCTCCAGAACTGGATGCAAGAAGACCTGGAGCTCAGGCGGGAGCAGCTTGCCCAGGACCGTGCCATCTGCCAACACCTGCAGACCCTGGTACAGAGCATGCTGTCTCCTGCCGCTCCAGCGCCTGCTGCCTCCCCACAAGAAGCCCTGGAGCTCAGGCGGGAGCAGCTTGCCCAGGACCGTGCCATCTGCCAACACCTGCAGACCCTGGTACAGAGCTTGCTGTCTCCTGCCGCTCCAGCGCCTGCTGCCTCCCCAGCTACCGCTCCTCCTCCCACTCCTTCTCCCCCTTCCGCTTCTCCCTCCACACCCTCCATCCCCTCCCCACTCTCCATCCCCTCCCCATCCCCCGGGGGGCGCCGAGGCCCCTGCACCCGTGGTCCTGAGAGACAATTGGCCCGGTGAGACTCCCACCAGTGAGCCCTGAGCTTCCCCTCCCCCTTCTTCCCCTTGCTTCCCCCTTCCAGCTCCCTCCTCCCAGGTTTTCCCCTCCCCTCTTC